CGCTCAAATGTTTAAATGACTTGAAACTTTAAAGGTTTATATATATATTGAGTTTATTTAATAAATTTATGACAAAATACTCGACTTATTATAACAACAGAATTATAAAAGTTCAAAAAATTTATGTTTACTTTCATTAACTTTCAAAATATATAAATTTAGTTAGTTTTAGTTAAGATTTTCGTTTAATTAAGATATTTAACGAGTTAATTTGACTAATTAATTTATAAATGGGATTAATAATTTTTGTTAATCTGTTTAGGTAGAGCAGTTGTGTGTGACGGGCGGCTGTAATTAGCTACTTTCCTCTCTCATGCTATTTCCCTCTCTCAAACTACTTACATCTCTCCTACTACTTTCTTATTTCATTTCATCTCCCACGCTACTTTCCTCTCTCATGATACTTTCCTCTCTCACGCTACTTCCCTCTTCCATGCTACTTACCTCTCGTGTTACTTTCCTCTCTCATGATACTTCCCTCTCTCACGCTACTTCCCTCTTCCATGCTACTTACCTCTCGTGTTACTTTCCTCTCTCATGATACTTCCCTCTCTCACGCTACTTCCCTCTTCCATGCTACTTACCTCTCGTGTTACTTTCCTCTCTCACACTACTTACATCTCTCATGATACTTCTCTCTCTCGTGCTACTTTCCTCTCACGTAGGCAACTCTTTATTTTAGCCATTTTATATTAGCTTCGATTCCATTTTAGTGCCGTCCCCCAGGGTGAAGTTCTGTCTCTCCGGCCTTCCTCACCTAACTGCCTTTCCTCCCTCCCCCCATTAACCCCTGCCCTTTCCTCCTCCGGCTTCATTCAGAGTAGGGTGGTCGGTGTGCTGGGGTGGTGTGGAATGGTGTGTTTGGCTGACTGGGTTGGTTAGCTGAGGTGGCTTGATGGGTTGGTGAGGTGAGGTGTTTTGCTGGGTGGGTAGTTGGTGGTGGCTTGCTGGGTGGGTAGTTGGTGGTGGCTTGCTGGGTGGGTAGTTGGTGGTGGCTTGCTGGGTGGGTAGTTGGTGGTGGTTTGCTGGGTGGGTAGTTGGTGGCTGGCTGGCTGGCTGGCTGAAGGGGGAGGGGGGGGAGTGAGGGGTAGGAGGAGGGGGAGAGACATTAACATAGAGATGAGGGAGTCTTCTCTCTCCTTCCTACTGCCATCCATCCTCTCACCGCTGCTTTACATCCTGGTGGGGGGGGGGATAGGAGGAGAGGTGGGTGGGGGAACTTAGGGGGAGGAGACGTAAGAGGTAGTGGAGAGGAGGAGGGCGTAGGAGGTGTTCCCATAGGCTTAGTTCTATTCTTGCTGATTGTCTATGTCTTTGTGCGTATAGTCTCTCTCTCTCTCTCTCTCTCTCTCTTTTTCTATCGCCCACCCCTCTCTTGCTACACACACACACACACACACACACAGACACACACTCACACAGACACACACTCACACTCACACACACGACTTCTACTTGATTAGTTTTCATTTTACTTCTATACTCTTACCATCTCTCAGAAGTTTTCCAATTTCAAGTCCCACTGAAAATCGAAATGGCACAGACAGAGAGACAGAGAGACAGACAGACAGACAGACGGACAGACGGAGAGAGAGAGAGAGAGAGAGAGAGAGAGAGAGAGAGAGAGAGAGAGAGAGAGAGAGAGATTTAATACCACCGGATAATAATCAATGTATCGAACAAGCTTGAATAGCCTTGAATATCTAATAAGGGGACTAAGTTTTCTCTTGTCCTGGTTATAATCCGCATGAGATGGGACATTCACTTGAAGATTAGACACCCCCAAAGTTTATTTCACCTGAAGAATAACCACCTAACCTTAACGCTAACCTACCCTAATCTAACCTACCCTAATCTAACCTACCCTAATCTAATCTAACCTAACCTAACCTAACCTTGATCTGTCTCTCTCTTTTCCCCCCTTTTCCTTTTGTTTTTCCCTCTTCTTCTCATTCTCTCAATACAAAAAAAAATAATAATATGACTGAACTCGTAACTAAAAATAAATAAATAAATAAATAAATAAATATAAACTGGAACTTACGTCAATAAAAGTTTCATCTTAGTAACTATAGGAATGAAGTTTACACCATGGAGGGGGAGGTCCAGAGGAACTTTATGACACACACACACACACACACACACACACACACACACACACACACACACACACACACACACACACACACACACACCCACACACACACACCACAAGCCTTTTACCTAGATGAATTTATGCGCCATTAACCTAACCAGCTAAGTACAGGCGGTACAGACGCCATAAGTAGGTCCCCCTTTCACGAGTGCCATTTTGAAGGGGGTGAATAATAGCAATAGAGGTCATAATCCTGCTAACTAAGGTCATTATTCTGCTAGCTAAGGTCATTATCCTGCTAGCTAAGGTCATTATCCTGCTAGCTAAGGTCATTATCATGCTAGCTAAGGTCATTATCCTGCTAGCTAAGGTCATTATCCTGCTAGCTAAGGTCATTGTCCTGCTAGCTAAGGTCATTTTCTTGCTAACTAAGGTCATTTTCTTGCTAGCTAAGGTCATTCTTCTGCTAAGGTAATATTTTTATGCTAATTGAGGTCATTTTGTTGCTAAGGTAATTTTTCTGCTAAACCTAGGGTAATTTTCCAACTAACTAAGGTCATTTTTCTGCTTATTGAGGTAATTTTTCTGCTTAGGCATTTTTCCTGCTAACTAAGCTTATTTTCCTGCCAAATAAAGTAATTTTTCTGCTAACTAAGGTCATAGTCCTGTCAACAAAGTTAATTTTCCTGCCATCAGCTACCCAATATATGTTAGGATGTGTAAGTAACTTGGTATCATCTGTATATAATATAATGAGAAAGGATATGAAGATAATGCAGTTTCTATGGTGACGTGTACTGTAATTCATACCCCGGCCGCTAAGATTCTTCGTGGCGCTGCAAGACGTTATTGAAAAACTTTGATGAAAAGATGTGGCAGGAAAAACTTACCTGACCTATATTGCAGTGGATATTTGCAACGGGTGGTAATGTGTTGTTATGTAACTGCAACAGGAGGTCATGTGTTGCTATGTGTTGCTTTATAACCGCAAAAAGAGGTAGTGTGTTGCTATCAGTTACCTAATATACGAAACCTCACATAAACACTTACCCTTATATATATTTCGTAATAAATAAGTGAATGAATAAAGAAGACAAGTTTCATATACATTTCAGTGTTTGTTGTGGCTTGTAATTCTCACCCCGGCCGCTAGGAGGAGTCCCGCAACGCTACAGGATATCTCAATTTCCTTTACTCGTTATACAAAAAAAAAAACCCACACAAGGACTTACTATTTTCCTCGCTTCACTTCTCTAATATTAACGTGGGAGGACTTTCTTCCCTTATCCCAACGAGGAAAAAAGTCGAGGTTTTTTTGTGAATTTTTTTTCTTCCGGGTTTCATTAAATAGAATCCTAGGATCAGTTTGTTATCTTTGTTATTTTTTTTTATAATTTTCGAGGGTTGAGATGAGTTAGTTATCATAGCCTTGAGAAATAAGATTAAAGTAAGTTTTATTTTCTCGGGTTCTTGCATATATCAACATATCAACTACAATACGAAGAGGGATTAATATATAAATACAGCTGAGTTGAAACTGGTTATAATCTGTGTATATATTATTTTTTTATAAACATGTATGGTGTATATGTATGTTTTATGTATATATTATGTATATTTTTTTATTATACAGTAAAATGAACCATTGCTTTGTCGTTTATACCGTATTTTATAAACCTTTGTGTCAGTGAGAGAAATAACACACACACACACACACACACACAAAACTGTTCCATTGTCCAGTGTACAATATGGTCAGTGTATCGCACCACTGATACTGTCCATCTGTTTATGTCTCACACCATTTCCACCACTCAGAGAGAGAGAGAGAGAGAGAGAGAGAGAGAGAGAGAGAGAGAGAGAGAGGAGAGAGAGAGAGAGTTTCATCTTTCTTCCATGTTTCTTGAGGATCCAAATATTTGTCTAATCATCACTACATATAACAACACCCATTATCACTACATATAACACCACCCATCATCACTACATATAACATCATCCATCATCACTTCATATAACATCATCCATCATCACTACATATAACACCACCCATCATCACTACATATAACATCATCCATCATCACTTCATATAACATCATCCATCATCACTACATAAAACACCATCTATCATCACTACATATAACATCATCCATCATCACTACATATAACACCATCCATCATCACTATATACAACACCACCCATCATCACACATATAACACCACCCATCATCACTTCACATATGGGTCATTCATCCATCATCACTACATATAACACCACCCATCATCACTACATATAACATCATCCATCATCACTACATATAACATCATCCATCATCACTACATATAACACCATCCATCATCACTACAAATCGCTAAAGTAGTTTCCGAGATTCTCTTGCGGACACACACACACAGACACACAGAGACACACACACACACACACACACACACTCACACACACACTCACACACACACACAAACACACACACAAACAAACAGACAGATTTCTTTGTTTTATATAGATAGATAGACTAAGGCAAAATACACACAAGTTATAGCATAAAGTTTATTTTTAATGAATAACAATATACATGAGGTAGTAGACAGGGAGGTACTGGGAAGATCTTGGAAGCATGAAGTGTTGTCCAATGGTAGACCCTGCTGCCAGATGTGACCAAGTCCCAGGTTTTTTATCTGACTTTTTCTCTCATTTATACATAAGTGCAGGGTTTCAATTGTTTCTCTTACTCTAACAACATAACATGCTGTACATGTATTGTTTCTCACTATTAATTTTTTTTATCTTATTGTTATTATTGTTTTTTTTGTGCCTTGGTGAGCTACTTCCGTAAAAAAAATAATGAAAACAAAAAATAAAAAATCCTTATATGTTTTAGTCTCAAACATAATTGAGAGGCCATCTTGTTGACAGCTGAGTCTTGGGCAGCCTGAGCCTCTCTCTTCAGTGTCTGAACGACACACTGAAGGAGGTTCGACAATTCTAGTAGGGTTGGCCTCTTTTTTGAGTCCTTATGTTGGGCACCTTTCGCCCATAAGTCAAGATTTTCGGGGATGTTGTTTTCTAGCACGTGTGGCAACAGCGTGGCCAGCATCCAGCCAAAGCTATAGATATCGTTGGTAGGGTGGCAAGGCTCTCCGTTGAACAGCTGTGGGTCTGTAGACGGGTATGTTGTTGGTGAGTTGTCCCAATATTGTATGCAATCACCAGCTGGGTGTGAAGACCCGAAGTCGATCAGGGTGGCCCGTAGGTCGCCTTCTTTGTCTCGGAGTATACATATTTTGGCAGGCTTGAGATTCAGGTGGAGGATGTGTTTACTGTGCAGATATTTGACGGCGTTGAGCACCTGCTGCATGATCGAGATGAACTCGTTTGGTGAGTAGAGTTTTTTGGTGATGCAGGTGTGGAGGGGTTCGCCGGCGTACTGCGTCACAATGGTGAGGTACTCGGGAACTACGCCAACCAGACGCTGGACGCAAGGGAAGTTCTGCACGGAGGAGAGCTGAACGATCTCTCTTAGCATTATGTCTTGCACGACCGGGTCGTCGTAGTACTGCTTTAAGACCCATCGTTGATGGCCAACTTGTACTGCAAAACTGTGGCCAGAGGACCCTGAGCCCAGGTATTGGGGTTGCCGTTTGAGAATCATATTCTCGCAGATGAGAGTGTCGATGATTGTTACGCGGTGCTCCTCACAGGTGTCATACACCCGGTCGATGAAAGATTCTTCGTAAACAGTAGAGAAAGTCAT